GGGGGGGGGGCAGGAACTGGGCTGTACTGGTCCATACTGGGAGAACCCGAAGGTGCATCAGCGTCCCAGTCAGGGCACCCTACCGGTCCATACTGGTCTGTACTGGTCCGTACTGGGAGCACGCAAGGCCACATGGGTGAAGGGATCCTGGGTGAGACGCTCTACTGGTTTATACTGGTCCATACTGGTCCATACTGGTCCATACTGGGAGGACAGAAGGCCATGCAGGTGAAGAGTTCCTGGGCGAGACGCTGCACTGGTTCATACTGGTCCATACTGGGAGCACAGAAGGCCACGTGGGTGAAGACATCCCAGGCAAGACGCTGTACTGGTCCATACTGGTCCGTACTGGGAGGACAGAAGGCCGTGCAGGTGAAGAGTTCCTGGGCAAGACGCTGTACTGGTTCATACTGGTTCATACTGGTTCATACTGGTCCATACTGGGAGGACACAAGGCCGCGTGGGTGGAGAGATGCCGGGCGAGACACTGTACTGGTCCATACTGGTCCATACTGGTCCAGAGAACACAAGGCCATGCGGGTGAAGAGCTCCCAGTTCGGCTGCCGTACTGGTCTGTACTGGTCCGTACTGGTCCATACTGGGACAGCTGAAGGCCATGTCAAGGCACTGGTCCCAGTTTGGCTGCCATACTGGTCCATACTGGTCCGTACTGGTGCAGCCAAAGGCAATGCAGATCCAGGAGTTCCCAGCTGGGATGTTGTACTGGTTCATACTGGTCCGTACTGGTGCAGCCAAAGGCAACGTAGATCCAGGACTTCCAGCTGGGACATTGTACTGGTCCGTACTGGTCTGTACTGGTGCAGCCAAAGGCAATGCAGATCCAGGAGTTCCCAGCTGGGACGTTGTACTGGTTCATACTGGTCCGTACTGGTCTGACCCAAGGCACACGTGGGGCTCCCAGTTGGGCCCCCAGCCCCTTCCAGCTCCATACTGGTCCGTACTGGTGCAGCCAAAGGCAGTGTAGATCCAGGACTTCCAGCTGGGACATTGTACTGGTTTATACTGGTCTGTACTGGGATGTCCCACAGTGATGGAGAACTCAGGGGGGAGGCACTGGGATGAACTGGGCCATACTGGGGGGTTTCTGGGGGGGTCTGGGGGTCCCAGGGGGGGTCTGGGGGTCCCTGAGGGGGCTTTTGGGGGCCCCTGGGACCCCCCCGTGTCCCCCCAAAGATCCGGGGGGTCCCCAGGGTGGCCTTGGGGTCCCCAAAAAGAGCCCCCACGTCCCCACGGGGGGTCTTTGGGGTCCCTGTGGTGGCCTCAGGGTCCCCTGGAGATGTTTTAGGGGGTCTCCACGTTGTCCTACAGACCCCTCACAGTGACCTTGGGGTCCCTACAATGTCCTTGGGGTCCCCTGGTGATGTTTTACGGGGTCCTCACATTGTCCTGGTAAAGACGACCCAGAAGATCTCATGGTGGCCTTGGGGTCCTCGTGGTGGCCTTGGGGTCCCCAAAGAAGCCCTTGGGGTGCCCCGGAGACGTTTTATGGGGTCTCCACATTGTCCTACACGTCCCTCCAGCGACCAAGGCATCCCCAGAGAAGACCTTGAGCTCCTCACGGTGACCCTGGGCTCCTCATGACACCCCCTGGAGATGTTTTATGGGGTCTCCACATTGTCCTACAAGTGCCCCCAGTGACTGAGGCGTCCCCAAAGACCTTGAGTTCCTCATGGTGACCTTGAGCTCCACGTGGTGGCCTTGGGCTCCTCATGGTGACCTTGGGCTCCTCATGGTGACCTTGGGCTCCTCGCTATGTCCCCTGGAGATGTTTTATGGGGTCTCCACATTGTCCTGCTAAAGACAACCCAGGGGTTCTCGTGGTGACCTTGGGCTCCTCATGGTGTCCTTGGGGTCCCCTGGAGATTTTTTATGGGTTCCCTGCATTGTCCTAGAGACCCACATAGTGACCAAAGGCTCCCTGTGGTGTCCTCAGGATCCCCCAGAGATGTTTTATGGGGTCTCCACATTGTCCTACAAATCCCCCCAGTGACCGAGGTGTCCCCAAAGAAGACCTTGAGTTCCTCATGATGACCTTGAGCTCCTCATGGTGACCTTGAGCTCCTCATGGTGTCCTCAGGATCCCCTGGAGATGTTTTACAGGGTCTCCACATTGTCCTACAAGTCCCCCCAGTGACCGAGGCGTCCCCAAAGAAGACCTTGAGTTCCTCATGGTGACCTTGAGTTCCTCATGGTGACCTTGGGCTCCTGGTGGTGTCGTCAGGATCCCCTGGAGACGTTTTACAGGGTCTCCAGGTGACCTTGGGCTCCTCATGGTGTCCTCAGGATCCCCCAGAGACGTTTTACGGGGTCTCCACATTGTCCTACAAGTCCCCCCAGCGACCGAGGCGTTAAAAGACCTTGAGTTCCTCATGGTGACCTTGAGCTCCTCAGGATGACCTTGAGTTCCTCATGGTGTACTTGAGTTCCTCAGGGTGACCTTGAGCTCCTCATGGTGTCCTCAGGATCCCCTGGAGACGTTTTACGGGGTCTCCACATTGTCCTACAAGTCCCCCCAGTG